AGTTGTGGTTTTGCATTATGCATAAGCAGTGAGTACAATTAGACTGAAAAGGAAGCTGATCTCCTCTGATCTCAGGTGGAAAGCGTGAATTCTGATCTGCACAGGTGACACCTCTGTGCATTACTCCAATTTTCAAGTTCACTTGCTTGAATCTGTGTATGCAACAGAGAACTCACAACACGCAGATGTGGCTAATCTCATGCAATCCACTAACACTTAAACAAGCAAGATACCAAATAAGAGAGCAAAACAGTTACATTTGTTTGGCACAGAAAACTGCAATTAGTTCTTGATTTCACAGTTCAAGAAGGATGCTGAAGAACCAGAAGAAAGAAATTAATATCCCTATAGAAAGAATACAAAAAGCAAGAGAAGGAGGGAATTTGATCTTTCATCAAGCAGAGATACAAAAGAACCACCAATTACTAGAAATTAGACCTAAACAAATTCAGGCTAGAGATGAGGCTTCTTTTGCTTTCAGACAGACTGAATCATTTAAGAATTGCTCATTTTCAAATTCCCAGAAATATTCTCATTGAAACTGGATGCTTTTCAAATAAACGTTGTATTTCACCTTGTTCTGTCTGAAGCAGATAATTTTAGGAATTCTAATGGTCAATGCAGTTGTAGTAGTAGCAGTTGCAGTAGTAGCAGTTGCATATGTTCTCAAAACACTTCATAAAGGAACCAAGCATTTTCCTTCGGCAGGTAAAAAAGCAAAGCAGAGAAATAGCACTAAGTCAATGACAACACATGAATGAAGTTCACAGTTTCTAATTCCACTTTGCTACTCTGTGGTCCCCTTATGAGTTTGGGTTTGGGGAGGGTTGTTGTTTGGGTTTTCTTGGAGAAGGGAAGTAGTCTGGGTTTTGTTGGTTTGTTTTGGGGTTTTGTTCTTTTGGGGTTTTGGTTGGTTTTTTTCTGTCCGTGAACTTACTTTTAGCTCCAATTCACAGATTCTCCGTCTGTTCTGTGTCTCAGATTTAATTGCAAATTTCTGGTACTAACCTGCAATGCATTTTAACTGCCAAAATCTGTTGCTATTGAAGTTTAAGCAGTACAGCAGCACACTATACTTTAGCAATACACAAGCTGAGCCATGGAGAAAATCAAAATACCAGGGTTGCTCATTCTTTACCAGCCAGTCCCACAAAGTGTTAACACAGCAGGATCAACTACAGAAAACATCTCCTTAATCAGTGTGCATTCATAATCATGCATAACACTAGGTCCATAGTTTCTAGTTCTAAATTATACTATATTCCACATTTTAAAGACAAAACTAGGAAAAATTCGTACACACAACAATATATGCATTTAAGCTACCAACAGCTCTCCACATTTATGCAAGCTACAGAACTCATAGAGTTTTACAAAATCCACTCTATTTCCAGGGCAAAAGACTGCAGCGATTAAGCACCCAGACTCCCTACCAGTCTCCAGCAGGCTATGCTAAAATCCATGCTGTTAAATCCTTGCAATCTTTTCTAATCCAGGCTAGCTATATTAAAGCTAACTTGGGTGTGCCTAACCATTCTGAAATCAGGAAGCATGCAGACAGCCTATGTACCCTCATTCTTGGCCTGTGTAGTCAACAGGTGCCTGTAACAGCAAAGAACATGGATCATTACAATCCATACCACTAAATCTTCAGTCATTCTAGACTAGGAAAATAGTATAAGATCCTTGTCAGTTTATGGGTAGCCAAGAATTAATGGAATCCAGGCTTTTCTCTTTTCCTTCACTCATATACATATGGTTTAAAGAATTGTATATTCAGAAGTCTCACAAACAGGGAACTGAAGATGAGACTTTCCTCCTGAAGATCCATTTCCTATTATAATGGACATCTTTAGTTATTAAGAACATTATCCAAGTTTTTTTGAATGGTCCAACTGTAATTCTCTAGAACTGCACTACATTAAATTACCTCCAACTATGACATACTAATTTTTGCCTATTTACTGCACTATCTTAAGCATAAAGGAAGGTTAAAATATACTAAGCACTTTTTATTTCTTTTCCATTTAATGACAATATTGTAGTTATCATTGAAATACCACAAAGACATCACAGAAGGCAGTCACTAACTTGGTAATGTTCACTCATCAATACGATCATCTAATACCCTTAATCCCCTCTGTCTCTCAGGTACATGCATACAAATGAAATACATAGATGCACTCCTCAAGCAGCAACCTTTCTTTACAAGAACCCCAAGACTAAACATTAATTGCAGGGTTTTTTCCTAACTTTCTTCAGACTTCTCAGGGAAACAGCTTGAAGTACAGACCTACACAATCCTAGTAACACAAACCCTTTGTAGAAATCAACTAAACCTTGGGACAGCTGGGGGGGGACGGGGACAGGGGTCGGACGGGACTAAACCTACAAAATATAAGAAAGGAACACAGCTCTCTACATCTCCTCCTGTCCACGCAGAGAAAGGGTGGGTACCCATACAGCTGCCATCTCCCATTACAGAGCATACAGCATTGTGTACTCAACCACATCACCTGAAAGAGCAAGCAATGATCATTGAGGCAAAACCTTTCCCACACCAACCAGACCTTATTACCATGATAAATGAAGCCATTAGGCTTCAAATTGTCAACAGGAAAAGAATACTTAAGATAAAACCAGCAGCTTTAAACACTATCCTACAAAAAATAACTTAAGGTCAACATCAGCCACTTAGGCACAGTGAGCATCCCTCTGTTCCCTCCCCCTGGTCCTCAGGTTAAGCTGTATTTTATAAGTTTCATTCTGTCTATATTACCAAAAGAATGTGGGGAAGCTAACAGAACAAAGTTTATGCTGCTGGGTCTTCCACATAAATATCTTTTAAATTAGATTTGGTATTTGAAACATAAGCAAATGTCAGCTTTATTGGAGCATGTTATTGTTTCTAAAAAGGCTACCTGTTAACATGGATATGGTTTACTAAAACGTTTTAGTCCCAACTGTAAAACCTGCTGTTGAGTTTCAGTACACAAGACTGGGTCTGTAGGACCTCTAGCATACAAGCTCGTAAACAACCAGAACAGTTACTAGTGAAACAAATTACATTTTAAATACAACTTTGTATATATAGATTTGTTATGAGCTAGAACTTAATGATTTTAAATAGTCCACTGGGAAACAATTTCCATTAATGAACAAAAATTGCACGTGTAATAAAAAGGAGCTTACCACCTTCGTTAAGTAGTTTGGTGGTATAACATGGTGACATCATCACTGGCAAAGTTAGCTTAGTTACTGAGACATTCTTTATGGAAAATGTACAACAAAAAACCCAAACTGTAGAATCCAAAAATAGCGGGGGGAGTGGAGGTGGGGGAGGAGCATTTCCTTACTTTCCACCAATAAGTTAAATTAGCAGCTGAGAGATTACTTTTACTTCATCACTCAAGACAGCACTTTTTCACTGTTCATGCCCCACTACACAGCGTTTAGGATCAAAGTATGTCCCATGGGACCACAAACTTCAAAAGCAAAACAAAACAGAAGTTCTGTATGGTGTGCTGGGAAAGAGATGGACACAGTATTTTCTCCTCTATCTGTAACTTTGAGAACTACATACCGAAGAAAACCACAATAATGACTGCATGCAAAAACTGACACTGAAGTGCCAAGTGAAGAGGTAAGATGATTCAAGGGGAAAGTAACTAAAACAGCCTTTTCCAAGGGCTCCTCCAGATCCACAAAAAGACATGTTTGTTTACAATATATATGTGTCCTCTGAAGGAAAGGTTTTGTTGTTACAATAAATCAAACCCCAGGGGCTAACCACTCCCTTACAAACACAGCACAGCTTTGCTGACAGCACTTCAGAAGAACAGACTTAAATTGACACATTCGATACAACAACATTGTCCTGAACGACTGCAACAACTACAGGGCAGGTTCTCTCGAAGAAACCTATTTGTTTCTTTAGACGTGGCACACTGATGAACTTATGTTACAAGGAAGGTTTTTTTCTTTGGTAGCAATGTTTATTACACTGCTTGTCACTTCCAGACTGGAGTTCTTTTGCATGTCCTGTACCTGTAGCTTTCAACATCTGTTAATAAATAGATCATTAAAATCTATTACATGGAGAAGGTCGTGTTTTTACAGCCTGTCTGCAAATCAGGGTACACTGATCCAAGTTCAGATGTCAATGCTTCTCTCCCTGCAGTCCCCAGCAATATTATGGTCACCTCCCTTCAGGTGGCAGCACTACGGCTCGCACAACATGTGGCATTAATTCAGGAAGCGCATCCACCTGAAAACAAATCCACCCCTACCCATCTTTGCAGGGCCAACACCACTGCTCCCCATCCCTCCTCCCTCTACCCAAAGCCACACACTGCAGTTTTCCAGCCTTCTTGATCCAGGTCATTACACATCTGCAAAAGACTTGCATCTGATACAAGGCAGAGGGCAAGGCTGCATGGGTGGACCTGCAGCATCTCACACTTGCAGCATCGTTTTTATGGTTTCACAAACTCCCTAAAAATATATTTCTGTGAAAGAATAGATCATGTACTAAAAGACAGTCCTTTTCAAGAACTGGGCACATTCAGAATAATCATCCCTTCCTTACAACATGAGTTTAGTTTCACAAGTAGATTAAAATAAACCACCTACAAGAACTACTGTGTTTTAGAAAATGTGACAAAACAGGCATTCTGTCACTGCCTGAAGAGTCCAACCTGCTTTTACGAACACTTCTACAAATATCTAGTAGAAAGGGGGAAGGAAATATTCATCTAGTCCCCTTGCATCTCTCTCCTGAGAAAATCTCTTTGCATATAGAGGATGCATTCAGCGCCAGAGTGGGATACAGTCTGGCACACGGCAGCAGCCAGCCTACCTGCTGGAGACCACCCCTTCCATATTGCATGAAACACTGCACACCATCAGCAGTCACAAAGCCAACACTGATTTTGTGGCAACTGGCACTACTCTAAAGGGTAACTGTCACACAGTGCAGAAAGTGGAGCATGCACACTTACCTATCTAAATTCCTGAGAAGGCAAGCACACACAGCTTTAGCAAAAACTCCTGGCGGCTGCCACGATCAGCTTCAGAGGAATCATGCCATGGTGAAACCTGGAAGCAGAAAGACCATGGGTATGAACAATATTTGAAAGGGAAACAAACAGGTTAAATTTTTTTCAAAAGGGAAATGGTATTGTGGAAACTGTGCTAGTTAGAAGCCAGAAGTAACAAAGACTTATAAAACTATGAACCTATTAAGTTTAAGTGGCTAGCTTACTCATTTGAGAGTGCTTGCATGAGAAGTTTCTTAATATAACAATCCCAACCTTTCTTTTATCACCCTTTTTCTGAACCACGTTATTTTCTTCCAGAACACATTCTGGCAAACATTTGGTTACACCTGAAAGGGGACATTTCACAGTGCTGTGGCCCACTTTTTTTCTCACCTTTTTCAACATAAAGGCCAATCGCAAAGGAAAGAGGGGGGTTATTTATTAAGTCACTAGCTACACTCCTCTAAGAAGTCCCCAAGTATAGCAAGGAAAAATGGCTCAAAGCTAGTCCTTCATATTTACCAGGTCCTGTAATAAAACCTGTATTGTTTCAACATTAGCCTTAATATCTGACCTCTATCTATTGCTACAAAAGATGACTGGAGCCCTCTAAAATTAGACTGGGCAAACAGATGTAACCATGGAGATTCATACTGCAGACCCGAGAACACTGCAGGGGCACAAACTGGAGGTAGAGCACAGACAGTGAATTTTTGTCCTCCTCTCCTCCCACCAAGCTCCAGTGTTAGAAGAGATGTGTGGTGAATCATATCAAAAAGATGGATTAAAATCCAACTCTAAATAAGGAGACTTGAGGAGAAGACCTAGATCATTTCTCCAAATCTGGCTTTTCCCAGTCCAGATCACTGCACAGCTACGTAAGAATTTGTGCTGACAAAAGGCAGAGAAGGCACAGGTCAGGGTAAGCAGTCAAGGACAGCTGCTTTCCGCTGCAATGCCATCATAAGCTGCATGTAAAACCATGGTACAAACCCTATTTATTCTATTATAGTGATCTCTGAAATTTGATAGGTTGATATGCAAGTAATTTTTAGTCACCCATTACTACTATCCCAATAATATTTCCAGACAGGGTTGAATGAAGTTTGAATACTTGGTGGCAAGAACGTTAGTATCAACCAAAATTCTTTAAGAAGCGCCAGACATCATTACAACAGAGCTCAAGAAAGTAATTATTGTTATCTTACTTTAAGTAATTAAAAATACAGCTTTCAGAGTTGGGTTTTGTAACTGCAAATTAGGTTTAGGCTTATTGACAAGATACTATGTGAAATTAAGACCCTGGAAAACTAAGAAGCATCATCAGAAGAGCTGCAGTACATATCATACGCAGCAAAAGCAGTTTCCAGAGGTCAGAGAGAACTAAACTCGTGTTTAAAACAAGGTAACACTGAAGGAAGAACTGCTTTCTAACTTTCATATTATCAACAAACTGTGCCTGTCTCTTTCAAGTAGAATCATATTCTAATCTTGGGGCAGGAAAGTTCAATTACCTCTCAGTGTAATGAGGCAAGGAAAAGGTTTAAAATCTATCTGATTACAATTGCTACTGACATTTTGGCAAGTCATTTGGGCAGCAGGTAAATAAATCATTTCCTCAGGTGGTGGCCTTCTGCTCAAGAAAAGATTTCCTTGCTTTCTTTAGGATGAAATTCTTCACCTGTTCAAACATTTCTAAGATGCATCATAATTCCAGTCCAGAACTCTCCATTTCCTTTGGTGTTAAATTATAGACCTGCTGTATAAAAACAACTTTTTTCTTTTTTTTTTTTTGGTAAAAGATTGCCTATGAAGCTCAATTGTGATTGGGAAGGCCGCCTACACAGCATAGAGGGTGAGAAAAAACACACTTGCAGAGCTGAAAAAACATTGGTGTAGGCGTAGAGAGGGAGGGAAGAACAAACTTCATTCTACTGAAAAAGGCTATTTTCTTACCTCACTAAAATGTGTTCCTTGAAAAGAATTCAAAGGATTGTTTGCTAGGTTCCAGATGTCAATATGCAGCACAAACAAAATGAGGAATCCTTGCAGATTCATCCTCCTGGCTTCAGAATCTGCCACCTACCCAGGGAATGTTTCACTTCCCCCACTTTTCTATTGCATCCTGCAACAGCTGTTCTCACAGAGAGCAAGTCACCCGCACATTAGCAGTCCAAAGCCTTATATAATTAACAGCATCAGGAAGTATTGAAAGTGTAGCCAAAGCCTTTCCAAAAGAAGGGGAAAAAGAATGCTCTCTGGAAACACTAAGAATAACTTTTATTCATTCTCAGCAGAATCTAACAGTATTTGGAAATGCTGAAAATAAAATAACTACAAGTACAGATGTTTCTTTCTGACAGTTTCTTTCCCCCCTGGCCTACACAGCCTTCAGTCCATTCATCTTCCCAGAAAAGCAAGCAGACCTTTGCAGGATGTCCTACTAACTAGTCTAGATTTTCAAAGGAAAGAAAGCATGAGCATCGGAAAATATCCTCCTCGGTTTTCTTTAGGAAGGCACCACCTATACCTGTTACACTTTCTAAACAAATCAGTCTACATGACGTGTTCTCCTGCCATCACAAACCCATGAAAATACTTTTAATAGGTCTGTCTTTCCCTTCCCAATAAAAACAAAAGGCTGTGGTTGTATGTGCATTAGCTGATTATTACTGTAATTACTACCAGAGGAATGAAGACAGCCTGGACAAATTTCACCAATTAAGTTCAAGAAACATGAGATGATGCACTGCAGGGAACAGAAGAGGCTGCTGCTCCTATGGCACCAGACAAGTCTAAAACCTATTTGCAAAGCTTACCTCAAATGGAATAGGACTCCATCACCTCATTTTCTTGAGTGTTGAGGTGGGTGTTTTCAAAGCCCTGCGTCTAGCAGTTGACTGAATTCCTGTACCCACAGTACACTGCTGCAATAGAGAACAGCCTACAGAGCAGTACTCCTGGAAGGCTACCTCCAACCACAGCTTTCACAGGGCTTTAACTTTCATCTCCAGTCAAGCATATGCTGTCACTGAGGACACTGAATACCAGAAACTGGTAAGCAACATTACTACAAAGTAAACTTCATTTTTACACATCTTTTCAACTACATGACTGTTGAGCACTAATGGCTATTATTCATACAGAAACACAGCTAGGATAGGATTCTGAAAAGCACCAAGCCAGCTGACTTGCACAAACCTACACAGCAATCAAAAGCAGCACACTCAGAAGTCACAGCTAAGCTCTTAAAATTACTCTTAAAAATACAAGATAGTTGCTCCTGAAACCGACTGAGGCATAAATTCTTCTGGATCAGAAAGGCAGATAAGAATGGAGTATCACAGAGAGGTATAAAACTCCTGAACAGTAGAACCTCCAGAAAACAGAAAGAAGGATCTGAAACACTGAGTATAAAATGGTGAAAAACACAGAAGCAAGAAAAGAAGTAAGGTGATGTAGAAAAAAGTATAAAAAAAAAGGCATATAAAAAGGTAGCAAGAAATGAAATCCCTTATTTTAGGAAAATTACAAAAGAAGGTATAGACTCCCACCAGATTTTGAATTACAGCCATCCTGACTTTCAGCCTGGTGAATAGCAAAATACAATATTTGACACCTTAATACAGCCTCTCTACATACTAATACGCATATAATTCTAATAAACCAAAACCCCATGAAAATATTAGACAACAAATGAATCACATACATAGTATTTGCATCCTAATAAAGCATATCCTTTCATGCTTGGCTTGTCAAGCTAAAGAACATTTGCTTCAAGAGTCACTGACAGAATAATGTGATCTCTCGTATCCTTCCATAAATTTCACCTTTAGGTAAAATGAAGTTTTATTTCTCCTTAGCAAGAACAGAAGAGGTCAAGTTTAAGAAGGCTGCCTTTTACCTCAGGCTCTAAGATCTCCAGTCAGACTACGGCTATTACACAACAAAAAACCCTAGAAGAGCATTGAGGGCTGTCAGGGGAATCTCTCCTGCTGCTGACAGTAAAATTCAGAGAGAATATTCACGTTTTGCTTTTCAGATACCAAGACCTTCAGGAACTTCTCAGAAATACGTCTTAACAAGGAAGAAAGCTGAACTAGTAAAACCTTTTTACCTGCTTGTATCTTCTTGTAAACCAGCAGTTAAGAGCCTTGAAATTGAGTTATACTTCATTTTTGAATGAAGATTCAGCTTAGGTTGGGGGGTGCCTGGGTTCTCATTTTCTGTGTTGCTTTTTTTCCTCTCATCAACAGTAAACTAGAAGTCTGATTAAGATTTATAGCCTGATACAAATTCAAACACCTTTGACATCGTAATTATAATAGTATCAATCAAAATTAGTAACATTACATTTAATTCATTAACTACTCTACTGCCCTGTCTACAGGAGTCAATTACTATAATTCTTGACATTTTTCTCAAAAGGGGTAATGGAACAAAATTTCATTTAAATTAATTTGACCTGAAAAGGCTTCTTCTGATGTTCAGATCATCATTTTTGTGCAGTACACCGTAAATTCTCCTGGCCTTTCACAAGCACCATGGCTTACAGACTTCCACACTGAGGCCAGATTTCCAGCCACACAATCTATTACTGCAACTGTAAGTGGCTTCATGTTTACCTTTAATATAATTGCATGTCCTACAAGTGAAATACCTATACCAAGAAAATACTCCTAAATTGAAATTGCTTCTAATCTATGAACTAAAGCTTTTGTCCAGTCCAGAAGTAAGTGAAGTGAAACATCAAGGAATTTACAGAGTACAACCATGAAAATGTGACCTTTGGAGATATCCCTGATAACAGTAAGCACTCTAAAGTAAGGAATGCAAATACTTAAATCTGAAATGGAGAAAACCAACAACAAATGCAAACAGGCCATTTTTTCTCCCTTACATGAGGTAGTGACCCACCTTTTTTACTGTCCAATATGCCCTCTTTAAAATCAGGTTCTCTCTTCAGATAAGTTACCCTACTGCTTTTGAGCCTGGCCTGCTTTCACAGCTAAGCTGTAAAAGAAGGACAGAACTTTCCACTTTAAGAGTTACTGCTGC